CAGCCCCTCTCCCTCTCTGGGTCCTGTCCCTTTTTGCCTGACATGTTCTCCTTCTGTCCATTGCTTCATGGCATCTTACTCACCCTCCATACACTCAGCCCAAATGTCAGCTGAAAAGCCTTCTCTGAATTAAGCCAGCCCCACCGTCCCCTGGGTACCCAGAGCTCGTAGAGAGTGCTTTTTCTTTCTCTGTTTATATCATTGTCTCTTCTCCTGCCTGATAAGCTCTTTGGGAGGAAGAACAATGTCCTAACAACTTTGAATCCCCAGCCCCTGATATATGGTAAGTATCCAAATGTAATTTAAAATGCACTTGGAGCTCTAGAGTTCTTTCAAGCTCAAAATAGAACCTGGAATGAGGTATAAAGAATTTTGGAAAAGGATAGTGATAACAGTGGTACAACATGAAAAGCTATCATCGGTGTTATTGATTGTAAATGTGCAAGTTGTTGTGTTGGTGAATGCTTTGGTGTGTATATTTTCACCACAATAATATTTCTTTTAAAAATTAAAGATGGAGAAGCAAAGATGTAGGCATCAGGGAGGAAGCAGGCTTGGCTGTACACATGGAGGCAAGCAGAGCAGGAGAGTCACCTTCTTGTGAAATTGTTTGGAGGGACAGGCTCCAAAATATTCAGAGACTTGTCTAAGGCCATATAGTGAGTAAGTGACAAAGTGAAGATTCAAGCCCAAGTTTACTTATAGCCCACTATATTTGTACAGTCTTTAAATTTTTTTTCTCTTAAGAAAAGAATGAGAGAATAGTGAATGCATTTCTATAATGCATACTACGTGCCAGACATGTAATTTTTGTGTTTTATAAATATTAACTTATTTTATCCTCCTAATAATCCTAACAAGGAGCTCTGGTAGCATAGTAGTTACCAGTCGGGCTGCTAATCTCAAGGTCAGCAGTTTGAAACTACCAGCAGTTCTGTGGAAGAAAGATGAAGCTTTCTGCTCTTGTAAAGATTTACAGGCTCAGAAACCCTATACAGGGTCGCTATGAGTTGGAACCAACTCCATGGCATACCACCACCACTTGCCACCATCATTAATCCTAACAGGTAGATACTGTTACTATCTCCATTTGATAGATGAGGAAAACTGATGTACAGAGATGTCAGAGAACTTGTCCAAGGTCACACACCTGGAAAATGGGAGTTAGAATTGGAATCCAAGTCTATCTGGCCTCAGAACCCATGTTCTTAAACACTAGATTATGCTGCTTATCCATGCAAATGACTGCATTTAATGCCAGGACTATAATACTTCCACCTCTTCTTTCCTGTTAGTCACATCTTTACAGTGGGTGAACATCTTTCATCTAGCTTTCTCAGCCTAGTGCTTATTCTTTTCTAGACTCTCTTCCCTTTTCTCTGCATACCTTCTGTGCCATACCTTGCTCCTGATGCCAGAATTCTCACCTGATGTTTCTTCCTCACAGAAGTGCATTAGCAGAGGGGAGCTCCAGGTATCTCTGTCATATCAGCCTGTGGCACAGAGAATGACAGTGGTGGTCCTCAAAGCCAGACACTTGCCGAAGATGGATATCACCGGTCTCTCAGGTAGCAGCTATTTACTCCAACCCATTGCTGACAGTCTGAAACACCCTAACCCTGCTTTCCTGCATCCCAAACACATCACCCTCCATATCTCAGAACCCCTTGTGCCTTTCCCTTTCCATTCCTTCTTCTCTTGTCTGTATTCTCTTTCTGATGAATGTCTAGGTCCAATAGATTTAGCTGAGAGGTAAGCTGGCAGCAAATGAACTCTTTAAAATTGGCAAGAGGTATCTTGAATGATGTGCATACCAGATACTAAGCTCTTGCCCCAGGTGAGACTTACCAAAAAGATTGCCAGCTCTGGGAAAGGCTCCTGATCACTTTTTATTTGTAGACTTACCTCTTCATGGGTCTTTATTCGTCATGGATATTTTATTAATAAGCATGTAAGTAGAGTGTGCTTATTAAGTGTAATTGATATTGCATAGAATATATTAATTATCTGGGAAGAATTGAAAGCTATAATATTAGGATGCTCCATTTCAGAGTATAGGTCCTTGTTCAATCAGATCACCCTTCATTGGAATTCAAACGTTTTCTGCCTAGAGCTCTGTGACTCTTGATGGAAAAAAAAAAGAAAAAAGATAGAAGATTGAAAGCATTTGTTAATCATGTGCTTCCTGGTGTTTTGGGGTTTCTTCAAACCTGACTTGAGGAGGTGGTTCTGCTTTCTGCTCGATCTCCTTGGTCCCTTGTCCAAGCAGGCAGACTCACATAGAGTCAATATACATTTATCAGACAATCACTAAAGACTGTGTAGGGGTGACCACCAAAGATATGAAAACCATAGCTCCCTCCTTCTCAACATGAAACCACCATTATAGAAAAGGACTGTGTCATAGGCCTGTCTTGCTTTTTCTCATCTCTTTGGGGGCTCCAGATCCTTACGTCAAGGTGAACGTCTACTACGGCAGAAAGCGCATTGCCAAGAAGAAAACCCATGTGAAGAAGTGCACTTTGAACCCAGTCTTCAATGAATCTTTCATCTATGACATCCCCACTGACCTCCTGCCTGACATCAGCATCGAGTTCCTCGTCATCGACTTCGACCGCACCACCAAGAATGAAGTGGTGGGGAGGCTGATCCTGGGGGCACACAGTGTCACAGCCAATGGTGCCGAACACTGGAGAGAGGTCTGTGAGAGCCCCCGCAAGCCTGTGGCCAAATGGCACAGTCTGAGCGAGTACTAATCCTGGTCTCCTCACCTGTAACCCAGGGGCCAGGAAGGGAAGGGACGTGGCGGGGAGAAAGATGACAGAGGGAAGCCGACTCAAAACCTCATTTTAGTTGTAGAAGACAATTTCTTACAAAACAAATCCCACCAAGAACACTCTACATGACCACAGCTGCAGATCAGTTCTTAGCGATGATAATTTTTCTCCTTTGCAAAGCACTAGGAAAACAAAATTTTAAAAAATTAAATGAGGGGAAAAAAAGAGGGAAAGATCCCTACAAGTCTATATATAACAATGTAACCTTATACTTGCATGTCTAATACAAACTGAAGAAATTAACCTAACTACCAATATCAAGTTACAGATTTTAATCCATGAAAATTGTGTTTTGTGCGAATTATATTTGCTGATTACCTGAAATTGGCCTCCTTTTATTGGGCTTCTCTGGAGAGTTACTCTTCACATCCCCACCTCTGAAGAAGAAAATTTTGCTCTTGTAAAAAAACAACTCATGTTTTCATCATCCCCATCTTTTCCCCTATTACCTCTTGCATCTTTGCTCTTTGGCTAAATTCAAGGTCCAGAGATCTGTAGTAAACCAAGAAACAAAGGTGGAATACATAAGGCAGGACTTGCAGGAGAAAGAGTAACTGAAAAATGAGGCATTTTTGCTATCAGTCCTCCTGCTGTGAAAGGGGAAAGGCATTCTAGGATTAACTATAGTCCTAATGAAGCACATAGAACACATCAGACTTAATCATGTAGAACTTGGTTTTACAAAATTAGGTGACTTCTCTAAAAGGAGCTTTGAGACTTCAAATTCAGTTATAGAATAGCTCCAATGAACACATTCAGTTGCTCCCTAATTTGCAGGTAAAGGACAAGGAGAGGAAAAATTAGGTGACAGATATCTTCCTTTGTAGCTACCTATGAAAGTGATAGCCATTTGTTGATTAATAGGTTGGGAATCATCAGAAGTTTGAAGGATTAAATCAGCTTGTGATTTTCCAGAAATACTGGCCATTTAGAATTTTAGTCTTCTCAAGTGGCTTATAAATGTCCTAAGATTTTGCTTCATAAGGAAAAGGGCACTCAGAAATGACTCTCCTTGAGTTTTTTTTGTAATGGTATGACTACAAAAGTAATTAAAGGTTAACTTGGATTCTCTCAGAATACCCTTTCCCTCAAAACACAGTGCTTACTTCTTGGAACTCATGAGTCTCACAATATGATGGAGAGATGGGGGCAGTGGCAGGGGTGGGGGTGGGGAACCACAATAAGCTTAGATAGGCAATAGATATTTTTGCCATCCTAAAGAAGAACTCAAATAAACTACAGCATCAACCAGGGCCTGAAAGATTAGTCAAGGTTGACGTGTCCATACCAGAACATCACTTTCTAACTTGTATCTGAAAAGACAATTAAAAAATTGAGTATCCATGGAGAGAATGGTAAACTTGCCTTTGGTGTTCCCTTGGCTTTTGTGGATTTAAAATTAATTTTCTTCCCCAACTCCACTCCCCCCACCTTTTTTCCCCCGCCTAACTCATATTCCTGGTAATGCAGAGAAGTTCTGAGTAGGTATAAAGACCACTCTGTGTTTTTGTCCCTATCAACCCTCATCCCTTATAATCTGACTCAATATCTCACCATCACTTGGGTTCACACCATCAGTCTGTCCTGTACCCCATGAAATGTAAATAGTGTATCATACTTAGAAGAAAATAATTTTTGTTTTCTAAGGAAAAAAAATGCATTTTGAGATAGTTTCATGTAAATCTAACAGGAGCATTCTGAAATCCCATTAGTAAAAAAAAAATTTAATGGTTCCTCTTCATCGCCTTAATGTTTAAAGATCAGAAATTGCTGAGCAACCCACTTTTGTTTCCTTCCCAGAAACAATGCAAAGCAACAGGTGGAGATAGTCTGGTCTTTGCCCTGCTGTGTGTGCCTCTGTAGCTTCTCCTGACGTTAAGTCTGGAAATACAGCCTCATCCCAATCCTTTCTTCCCCATCTCCTTGTAGCTTTATTCCTTTCATCCTTTGGGTCTACTGAGCAGTGGGTGGTGAGGTAACAGGGGAGAAACCAATAGTTCTATAGCTTAGGAGCCACCTCAATGTCTTTCTCAGAAAAAGGCAAAAAGGTAGACAGTGCAGGGTTTCTCCCTCCTACCTCAGGCCTGATCCATCATGCCCTTGACTCTGCTGTCCCAAAGTTTCTTAGCTGACTTTGACTTTCACATTCTTCCTTCCAGAGCTAACTGATAGGGGTAAAGGAGGATGTCTCCTCCTAAGGGTCAGTTGAAAGACAAGAGAGTCACATCCTAGCTTTTGCACAAGGCACTCATGGTCAAGAATAGGTTAGGGAATGGTCACTTCTGATTGTCCAAGAGTCAGTCCTTCTCTGGACATCTTGATTCCTTTGGGAAGACAAGTTTTTCTTAAAGTCCATTTACGAATTATTACTTCTTTCAGTTCTTCTCAGTGGAGCACAGCCAAGATGTATGTGGTTCTGAATAGTGCTCTAGATACGAAAACTGATAGAACTGGTTTGTGGGACAGTGGCGGCTTGCTCAGGAGAGGGAATAGTACAAGTCTCTTTCCTTGGAAGACTTTTATTATGGCCGTGATAGTGACATTGCCCTCACCATGATCCCTCTCCAATGTGGTCGTCTTTACCTTGTGTCTTCTCTTGTAAAAATGAAACTCAAAAATAAAATAAATGTGTCAAAATTAAAAAACAAACAAATGAAAAAGCTAACTTGAATTGTGTGAAATTGCATAATGCTGTAACGCTAACCTACAATATGTAATGCTATCTTGTATGTTGAATTTGTTAATGCACCACACAAGTGCGAAATAAAGACTGATTCACATTAAACAGGCATGGTGCTGTCAGCATGATTCTGTGAAAGACGGATGACTATGATGAAGTCCATGCTCAGACTCCATTAGAATATGGTAAGGCATGTTTTCCAAAGTGTAGTTCCCAGACTGCCTGATTCATAACCTCCTCGGTCACTTGTTTAAAAATGTAGATTTTAGGCTCCCATACTCTCAAAGTAGAATTTCTAAGACCATAATCATCTGAGAGAAAGATGATTATTTCTAGTGCCAAGAATTGTCTTGCTCCTTTAATTGAGAATATGTCTGTTCTCAAAATACAGTGCTGAGATGGGTCAATTCATCAAAATACATTACTGACTGTCTATATATGCCAGGCACTGGGTATACAATACACTAATAAACATGAGTCCTGCTCTTCTGGAGCTTAGCAGAAGACAGGCATTAGTAAAATAATCACATTAATGTTTGGTAAAAGTGGAGGGTGGAAGAAAAAGAGGAAGACACCTAAAGAGATGGATTGACCCAGTGGCGGCAGCAATGGGCTCAGGTGTAGCAAAGATTGTGAAGATGGCCCAGGACCGGGCAGTATTTCGTTCTGTTGTGCATAGGGTCGCTATGAGTCGGTACTGACTTGATGTCACCTAAAAAGAACAACAACATTAATTAAAATTTATTAGTTCATCTAACAGATAGTCAGTCTAAAGGCAAGGCAGCCTGCAGAAATGACTGATGTATGCAAAAGGTCACTGATAATTTCAAGAATTCTGTGGGTCAACTCTGACATTCACTATTAGCTCAATCCCAAGGTATTTATAAACCAATTTTCAGGGCTTCATGCTTGCTTTCTCATTCACTTCCATGAGGAAAGAAGAATTTGCTTACATAGTTCTTCCGGAAAACTAAGGTGGACCATTCCGAGAAAAAAAAAAAAAGTTGTCACCAAGTTGACTCAGATTCATGGTGACCCCATGTGTCAGAGTAGAATTGTGCTCCATAGTGGCTGATATTTTGGAAGTATATTGCCAGACCTTTCTTCCAAAGCACCTCTAGCATTTCTCTCTAGTAGTCTTGTAGGTCCAAAACATGTCACATGATCATTTCTGAGCCAGTCACTGGCATGGAGGATGGAAATCCCTTTAGGCCATTTAGGACCACCCTGGAGCTGGTGTGTGAAAAGGGTATATTCTTGACTAAAATTCTTGTTTGGAAGGATGAATGAATGCTAGATGGGCAACCAACAATGAGCACTACATTGTTTTGAGTATCTCTCACTCCCCACAAGGTGCTTTCTCACGGGATTTTCGGGATTTTCTTACAGCAAAGTGGTGCTTTTCCTCAGGGAAGAATTGCTAACCAAGTTAAGGACTCACATCCTGATCTTATCCATCATCTGTACCTTGCTGTTTTAACAGACAAAACAGACTAATGTTTGAAATCCTCTTTAAGCAGTCCTAGTGTAGTGCCTTAGGATAAGCACTTGACCACAATGGCAAGGTCGATGGTTCAAAATCACCAGCCACTCCTTGAAAACTCTATACAGCATTGCTATGAGTCAGAACTGACTCAACAACACACAACAAAACAATCAAGTTTAGCCATAGGGCAATTTTTAAATCTGTATAACTTCTGTAAGAAATTAATCTGGAAAGCATCCAATTGCCTAATACCATTAGGTCAAATAACCACCTGAGCACCTCAAAACTCTGCTTGGCCTTTAGGAGGTTGTACGGCTTAACAGATGTAGAAAAAGTTGTGCAAACAGATAAATCTGTGTAAAAGCCTGAGAGCATTAACCACTCTGGTGTGGCGCTGTAGGATTAGCACTGGACTATGAACTATAAGGTCAGCAGTTCAAACCCACAGATGTTCCTCAGAAACCCTATACTGGATCACTGAGTCAGAAGTGACTCAATAGCACTAAACAAGGTTGAACAGGCGTAGAACAAGATGTGCAAAAAGAAAAGTCTGGGTAAAAGTCTGAGAACATTAGCCACTCTTGTGTTCAAGTTTATTGTTGTTAAGTGCCATTGAGTCTATTCCAAATCATAGCGACCCTGTATACAGTTTCCAAGGTATGAATGGTGAGTTTGAACCACTGACCTTGTGGTTAACAGTCCAGTGCTTATCCATCAGCACCACACCAGGACTCCAGTGTTTGATTCAAATCT